GGCTCCACAATTCATGGGACACCTGTATGTGTGTGTGTGTGTCTGTTCCACTGATATCTCAAGAACCATACATTGATTTTTGATGAAACTTGGTGCATAGATGCTCTGGGCCAATGCGCAGATTTGATTAGTTTTGGGTAAAAATCCATGCATGTTAATTATCCAATTTGCATGATAATTAGCTGATTTTTTAGCTGTTCCATGATTGTTCCACTGATATCTAAAGAACCACTCATTGGATTTTGATAAAACTTGGCACATATATGCTCTGAACTAATGCGCAGATTTGGTTAGTTTTGGGTAAAAATCTGTGCAATATTGATTACTTAATTTGCATAATGATTAATCAATTTTTGGCTTTTCCACTGATATCTCAAGTACTAATCATCACATTTCAATAAAACTTGGTACTTAGATATCATAGGACAGTGCACACACCTGATAGTTTTTAGGGTACCGTAATATCAGTACATATTAATTACCTAATTTGCATAATTAATTAATTTTCAGCTTTTGGTATTTCAAGTAGTAATCATCACATTTCAATGAAACTTGGTACATAGATGTCATAGGACAGTGCACAGACCTGATAGTTTTTAGGGTACCGTAATATCAGTACATATTAATTACCTAATTTGCATAATGATTAATCAATTTTTGGTTTTTCCACTGATATCTCAAGTACTAATCATCACATTTCAATAAAACTTGGTACTTAGATATCATAGGACAGTGCACAGACCTGATAGTTTTTAGGGTACCGTAATATCAGTACATATTAATTACCTAATTTGCATAATTAATTAATTTTCAGCTTTTGATATTGCAAGTAGTAATCATCACATTTCAATGAAACTTGGTACATAGTTACTTAAAGGCTGTGCAGAGACCTGATTAGTTTTGAGGTAAATATTTGTGCATATTAATCACCTTATTAGCATAATTAGTTAATTTTTAGCTTTTCGCCTGATAACTCAAGTACTGGTCATTATATTTCAATGAGACTTGCTACATAGATCCTCTAGGACTATGCAGAGGCCTGATTAGTTTTAGGGTAAATAATTGTGGATATTAATCACCTAATTTGCATAATTAGTTATTTTTTTCCCATGAATGTTCTGCTGATATATATAAAGAACCACTAATTGGATTTTATTGAAACTTTTATAGAGTACTCATCATCACATTTCAATTAACCTAGGACTATGCAGAGACCCAATTAGTTTTTGGTAAATATTTATGCTTATTAATCACCTAATTAAAATAATTAATTAACACTGATATCTCAATTACTGGTCATCACATTTGAATAAAATTTGGTACATAAATGCTCTAGAACAATAGACAGGCCCGATTAATTTTGGGTTAAAATTTGTTCATATTAATTCTCTAATAATAATTCATAGTTTTTTTTGTTCTAATCACATTTCAATGAAACTTGGTACATAGATATTACATCACGCAGGCCTTACTAGTTTTACACTCAAATCTGTTCATATTAGTTACCTGATTTACATAATTAGTTATCAGCTATTCCATCAATATCTCAAGTACAAGTAATTTTGAATTAATTTTTAATGTGTCTTCAATACTCTCAGCACACGGGGGTCTTTCTAAGCTTTCTTTGATGTAAACTTGTTCTATAGGATTGGTATTGTAGACATGGGAAAGCTAATTGAGCTATGGCTTATATAGCATTCTATCATGATGGATC